AAAATGCCAGGTAACTATGATAGGCACTTAACTTTCATGATTTTATTTGGAATTTACCACACAGATATCCATTTTATGGATAAAGAAATGAAACTTCAGTGAGATTAAGTAGCTAGCTTGTTGACGTTCATAGAGCCATTAAGCAGTGAGGTCGGTAAATGAGCAAGGTGTTTTTCTAAACCTAACCCATATCTTCTTCCTGCACAGCTCACGTTGCCAGGCACGAATATAAGGACCTGAAGGTAGGTAGAGGCACAGGAAGATGGTTATCTATGGTTCAAACAGACTGCCCTCTCTCAAATGAGGCCTGAGCCTAAAATACTCTAAATGTTTATTCAAAAAGGAGTCTGGCATGCTCTAGCCAATGGCGTATAAAGCCTGAGAAACAAAAAACCAAATCAGGAAATATTCTCTAAGAGAAGGCCTGCATGTAGGCTCACCCATCGAGAGAAGAGAAACACATAATCTGAGGGTTCCATCTTAGTCAGTGCAACACGCGTCAAAAGTGTCTCCAGACTCCTTGGACGTGGTGCCAATGGCCTGCTGGGGGCTGACTTCACCCCAGTATGTCGTCCTTACTTTGGTTCTCCTGAAAGACATCTTGTGTCCCTCCACATTTTGCCTGATCCTTCCCCACGACTGCTTCCCTTTCCACCCTTGTCAGCAGTTTGAGGGAGGATAAAGCCTTAGAGCCAAAACTAGGCGGTTTGGGCACTGCTGAAATGTGCAGCCACAGCAAAACCTGATAACTTGGTATTAACAGATCATTGCATCTCTAGTGTATAGATATTTTTGGCCCCCAGTGGCTGCCAGGCTTGGGGTCGACCAGATGGCCTGAGTCCACATGAGGACAGCCTCCCCAGGTCTGAGCTTAGGACAGCACAGGTCCCCCCAGAATTTGGTGCATCACACCCACCTCTGCTTTTCTCTGCTTCTCCTCCTGCTCTCTCTGCTCCTTCTCCATGCCAACCAGCTTGAGCTTCAGCTCAGACACTTCAGTCATCAGATCAAGCTTCTGCGTCTCAAGAGATGTGCGACTTAGCAGCTCCTGCAAACAAAAACAGATCTCAAAATCAGAAACCACCACGGCAACAAGGACAGCTCTAGCTTTATCTAGCACATCAGGCAACATTCTAAGTTGTGTGTTGGACAACACAGAACTGAGACTGCTGCATATGAGCCACAGGCCTTTAAGGATCGATGCGGGTTGACATGGGGCCACTCAGGGCTGGCATAGCCCCTGCCACCACCCACAATACTCTGAAAGACAATGTGAGCTACATCTCTCAAAAAACATGTTTGCCCATAGAAACCATCATTCATTATTTCCAACTAGGGAAAAATGAATGGGTACTCTCAAAGAACCAAATTTCTCCATCTTTTTAAACCAAAGCAGCAAAAAATGAGAACACTTATGTTAACAATAAATTTTTCAAAAACAAAATTTTTAGATCAGCTCCTGGCCTCAGTCTATGCTCAGCCCAGTCTTCGACACGTCTCAATGTAAGACCTCATTGCATTAAACCTAGATGGGAGTTAGAACACTAAGTAGATGCTCAAAGAGTATTTATTGAGTGATTATATCGGGATCATATTATATGAAATGGATCTTTCCTGGGCTGTATCAAAATTACAATTTGGCCACTATGGGATGTAAAAAAAAGAAGACTGTTCTTTCCTGATTGTGTGAGGACAGACCAGGGAGGTTATTGTTACTAGTCCTGCCATAACTAGGACAGTGGCAGATGACAACCAGTACTTCAGGTCCTCAACAGCAAACCTGTCATTAATAGATACACTTAACAAGCATAAACAAGGTAAAAAAAATAAACCCAAAGGTGACAGGAATTATAAAGGACCTCAAGAACCAGGAGTATTTCCCAAAGTCCAACTCATCATATTTTTCCACTGGAAAATAGCAATGTCCCATGAGGTCCAAAATCCTGGCACATTGTAGACACTGCCTACACAGGTCCCAGCAAGAAGAATATGCACAGCAACCAGGAGATCAACAGGCTAAATAACCAGAGGAAAAAGACACATCCTGCCACAGTCTGAACATTCTGTATCAGCTTGGGCAACCCAACCCCAGCACAAGCGTGGCAATCTCAACATTCTGACTCAAAAGTTCTGAGTTCACAGATTTGGAACTATCCTCAGATCATGAATAAAACTATATACGACAGAGATTTTGACTTGGAATATGTAATTCCCCAGGCCAAAGACCCCCAGTCCTTGGGGAAGGTAGGCTACAAACTCTCCATCTGCTAACCTGAAGGGATGGGTATCTAGAAGCCCAAAAGTTCAGCACAATGAGCCCCCTGAGCACTGGGCCAAGGAGGCCGGCTGACCCTGGGCCAGCCAGACTTGAAGCTGCTCACAGGGCAGAGGCAGCAGCACTGCAGGCTACTTAGTCACAAGGAGTCAGTCAGTGTGTCTAATATAATGGGGGGACTTGGATTTGTTGAGTGCTTTTACACACATCCTCTCAATAAACCCTCCCAGTGAGTTGGCAATAAATATTATTATCCTGATTTAACAGAGGAGGAAACAGGCCCAGAGAGGGTAAGTAAATTTTTTTTGGCCAAGGACACATGCCAATCAGCAGCAGAGTTAGATTTCAAACCAAGATCTGACTCCAGAACTCATTTCTGTTTAATGTAGCATACTGTTTCCCAGGAAAGAAGTCCAAGAATTTTAAGAGATATAAAAAAATGCTGAAAAAAAGCAACCAACAAATATTCAGGGAGCCCAAGAAATGTCCACTCAAATTGACAAGATTCCACTGAGCGCATATGATGTACCAGGGCCTGGTGCTGCACAGGCTATAAAGGGCCTTACGCAGTTCTTCGCTGTGTGTGGGGCACACAGAGATGCTGAGTTCTCTGGCTCTTGAGTCAGTGACTATTGTAAGATGTAATCCTCCCCGACACCACCTACGCTCTTCCACCCCCTCTTTCCTTTCCCCACTTCTCTCTCTCCTTCCACTACTTCATTCTCTCTCTCTCTCAGCCCTTCTATCTATCTGCCTTGTTCCGAAAATGATTTCAGGTAGTTTGCAAAATAGATATTTCAAGTTAAAAAATACATCATAAAAACTAAAGCAAGTGGGAAAAGAAGTTGAAACCAGAGTTACAGTCACTAGAAGACCCATACCATAAAGTTCTATAAACAGCTAGAGATAATGCATGTCTGAGCTTCCCAGCTGCCAATGCAAAGGTGAAAAGAATGAGCACACAAATCGAAGTCCATAAGATAATATCAATTTCTTTGGAGTACTGAGATATGAGAAAAATAATTCCTCCGTGAGCCTTAATTTATTTATTCAAAAAATACGTTTTTATGTTTATAGCAGCACAATTCACAATCGCAAAGATGTGGAAACAACCCAAGTGTCCATCAATACATGAGTGGATTAATAAAATGTGGTATATATATATACCATGGGGTACTATTCAGCTTTAAGAAACAATGGTGATATAGCACCTCTTGTATACTCCTGGATAGAGCTGGAACACATTCTACTAAGTGAGGTATCCCAAGAATGGAAAGACAAGCACCACATGTATTCATCATCAAATTGGTATTAACTGATCAACACATAAGTGCACATGTAAGAATAACATCTATTGGATGTTGGGCAGGGGGGAGGGGGGAGGAGGGGACGGGTATATGCATACACAAAGAGTGCAATGCTCACCACCCGAAGGATGGACATATTTGAAACTTGGACTCAGGGGGGTGGGGCAAGGGCAACATACGTAACCTAAACATCTGTACCCCCATAATATGCTGAAATAAAAAAAAATATATGTTTTTAAATACCTACCAGTTGCCAGTGACTAGGGATATAATAGTTTAAAACATAGTCCCTGTTGAGTACTCGAGCATCTGAAGGTGATAAACATGAAGTTTTGTCTATTGATCAGCATTTAAGATTCTGCTTTGGTGGGATTCAAGAAAGTATCATAATAGACCTCTTTTGAAAGCTAAGAGTTTACTCTACTTCCGTCATTGCCAAAATCCTTCTAGCTGTTTTAACTACCAGGTTGTAATTAGTCATACCAGTGTTCCAGCTGATGAGGATAATATTTTAATTGGTTCCAATAGCCATTCCAATTTGTGATGCCAGTGTTTGAATTGGCCACACTCGCATTCCAAGTGGACATTCACAATAGGACACACTAAAGTTTTAATTAGAAACCTGAGGTTGGTTAACTTCATATAATTCACCAATAATAAAACTTTTATGTACTCCCGTTAGCATATGCTTACACTTTTCATGATCATCTCCCCCTTGTCCTTGTCATTAATAATTACTGTTCTAGTCCCTGAACTAAAAAATCAGCCTTCAAAAAACTTATCCCAATCCATCTCTACCTCCCCATCTCCAGACCCAGCAAGGGCCCAGCCCTATTACATACTGTAATCTCTAAAATGCGTATCTTATTAGGAGTTAACTACCCTACATCCTCAATTGCTCCATCTACTTCCAATGAAAACTGAATCTCGGCTTTTGAACAATTTGACATATTCTTCCCAGTCACCTCAAGTGGAGACCACTTTTCTTCCACCAAGCCAACCTACAGAGAGCACCTTTCTCTCTGTTTCAGGACTGCTTCCAGACTGTGATTTGTCCCCATCGATCATCCACGTCTACCCTCCTATTCTAAGGCAGCACTATTCAGTGATATCACGTTATCCCCAAATACTCGGAACCAATACAGCCTCCCATTTCCCTTGAGTCTTTCATCTTTTGATCAACAGCTTTTCTACCTACTTGAGGTGCATTCCGTCTCCTCAGTAGCTTTAACATCCTTGTTAATGACTCTTCCGCTCAGTATGCACTCTGGCTTCAGCTCCAATAAGCTTTGCTTCCACTTCATTTCAGGTTCTCAGCAGCATGGCCACAACTTGGCCCTCCGCTTTATCCAGAATGTGTTTGCTTTGCTTCCAAAATCTTCAGCTCTGAAATTCTCTCCTCTGACCACAATCATCTGACCTTTCATCTGTCCCACTTGCTCACTCAACCTCTAATTTCTTCTTCTGTGACTACTAGTTACTTAATAACTCCCTATTTTCCTGGTTTATCAACTTCCTTTAAGCAGTATTTGTTTCCTTATCCACTCTATACCTTGAGGTTAATCGTTTCAATTGTACTCATATCTACACCAGAAAATCCTTCATCCAAACTCATCCCTGCCTCCAGACCTGATGTGCATGTCTTAATCAGAGCCCCTGCCCACGCCAAAGCTCATATAGTCTTTTGTCTGTGTTTCCACTCTCCATAGCCTGAGAATTGCTAGTAAAAGTCACTTAATCATGCCAACTCGTTGCAGTACAAATTTACGTTATCTCATTACAGCTGATCTTCCAACAGTGCATGGCCAAACTTGTATTTACCTCCAGCTGATTCCATCTAGGGATTGTTTCAAATCTTTTCTAGTCTCCTCACGCCCTAAACTCCCACCCTGTCCTGACCCCCTCTTCTCCTCAAATAACCTCTCCTCATATTTACTGAAAAGATTTAAAAAATCACCCAATAATTCATTAAACTTGAGTTCTATTTCAAAGCTTCCCAGAATCATCTCATTCATCTCTCTTAAATCCCTGGTCTTAGAGAAAACAAGCCCTCAGCTCCTTTCCAAGGCTAATCTGCCACAATTGTATACTGGCATCTTCTCTGTTAACTTCTTTCACCTTTAAGAACCGTTCCCTAGTGCAGTAAGTTTCCAGGTTGCACATAAAAGTATGCTTCAAAAGATAAAATGCTTTCAGAATTCATTCCTGAATCACCCCATTTGACTGACCTTCTCGTTTCTGGCCATTTCTCAGTCTCCAGACTCTTTACACATCCTCACACAACTTGATGAACCTTAAGGTTACTTCCTGGTTAGCCAGGAGACTTTGGCTTTGTTCTCTGAGTTCTGGTCCTGTTTCTCCCTTTAGCTGGTAACTCAGAATGACTCCCACTCACATGGTCCCAGACTCTCCCTCACCTCTGCACTGCCTCTGAGGAAGTTCCCACCAAGCTCTGTGCTACTCTAG